TTGAAAATTAACCGCACCTATAGTAAAATTTTATTTAAAAAAAAAAACAAGAACTAACAAGAAAAAAAAAAGGATAAAATTAAAATGAATCCTTTAAAGTCCTTTTATTTTTTTTTGTTGTTTTTGTCATTCCATTAGTATAAACAGTATATACATACATATATATATAAATTTTTTAAATATATTTAACATACTCCCCGGCAGATTTTTTAATTGTATATCATGTACATACGCACAAATATACATATTTACATATATATATACATACAACGTTTGATATTAAAACAAAAAAAAAATTGTTTTATTTATTTTCATTTACGTATTTTGTGTATAAATAATTTATATATGTACATATATATTATATATAGCCCTATTTAATATGGATATATTGTAAGGATATATTTGCATATGTACATGATGATGAAATATTTTAATTATATATGGATGTACAATACAAGGATATCATATAAAATGAAAAAAAAAAAAATTACCCACATACACCTACCTCTTTATATAACAATTAATATTAATATAACAAAGGAAAACTAGGTCAAAATGAAAATGTTAAATTGTAGGTAAATCTATATACACTTATATATACATAAATATTAATGTATAACATTCATTAAGTACATGTACACGTACATGTACTTACGTACATTTTTTGTTTTCTGTTAACGACCCAACAGGTGTAAATTTTTATTTTTAGATATAAAAATGAAAAAAAAAAAAAAATAGGTAAAAAACAAAAATAATAAGAAAAGCGAAAAAGAATTTATCTATCAGGTTTTTTTTTTTTTTCTATTTTCATTCATGAAAATAACAAAAATAAACAAAAAAACATGTAAAGAGTAAAAAAATATTTATTTTTTTAAAACAATTGAATTTTTCACTTTGTTTTTTTCTTGTTTCATAATTTAAAAAGGCGACAAGAAAATAAAAATTATAAAACGCTTAAAAATTTAAAATCATAAACAGAGAGATAAAGAATATAGCTAAGCTGGTGATGACTGATTTTTTTTTTTTTGATATAAGAAAAAATTTTTACAAACAATTGCATATTTAGGAAAACAGAGAAAAAAATTTTTGAAAAGAATATTAACAGTTAGATTATTAGAGCGCTAAAGAAATTTTCAATTAAATTGTAACCTAAATTTTTATAACCTTAATCTAAAAAGAAACATCTACATTTGAAATAGAATTTTGAATTTTTTAAGTGAATAATTGTTGTAAAATAGCAAGAATGCATAATGCTCTGTGACCTTGCTCAGTTTATGAACTTTACATGAATTTGAGAGTACTCGAATTCGAGACCTGAAATTCACGTATTGCACATTAATTGATGAGAAATTTTATATACGATGTAATCGACAATATAATAACGTAATAGATTAATGTTTTAATTCGGAAATCAGGAAATTCGTTATCAAACATATCAACAGAATAGAAAATCATCATAATGCTCAAATGCGTCTAAAAAGAAGACCCATGGACACATTGTACAATGCTAAAAGTTGAAATCGAATTTGGGGTTACAGTCAGTGGACATTCCCCCCACTAATACCTAAAAACGCTATATGTAAATTGCTTGTTAAGTTAAATCTAACTTAGTTGCACTAATAATACCATTTATAAAAAACCTTCCTGAAAGTACTTTTCTATACTATTTGAATCTTACATTTACTTAGAAATAAAATTTTACTTTATTCCATACTTGCGATATTTTCGTTTTAACAAATGGAAGTCAATAAAATCTTATACTTCATGAATATTTAGCAAATTTGTAGTAAGTACTACTATTATTCCTGGGAAAATACCGGTATTTGTTTGGCGCACATTTCTAAATTTGTTTTTCTTTGAAAGACTCCTTTGATTCTAAAGCAGACTAGTTCTGGATCCGAAATTATAGCTAAAATCAAAATTTCTTGTTTTAAAAATTTTTTTTCGATACATAAAGTTATTTAATAAAGTTATTCATTTTCACTTACCTATGCATAGATTTGCCAAACTTAATTTTGAAATCAAATCCAATAATACAGAAATTTATTCAAAATCCAAGTTAGTCATCACGAATTAGTTTGAAATTTTTAAAATTAATGAAATATTAGTCGATTTCAATATTGTATCCATAAATGAAATCTAGGTAATCATATTTTTGATTTGCTTTACAAACCTGCCTTACTTACATAAGTGTGCAACAGTTACGTCTAATTTTATGTAATTTTTCATATTTCAACAGCATATCTCTACATACCTAATGTTGTATTTTATTAAATGTAAGTATGTGTATATCATATTTGTAAATGAAGCGAAAATGAAAATAAAAATAAATATATTCTTTAATTTTCTAATATTCTTAAAGAAAAAATTGCAAAAAATCAAAAAATAATTCAAGTGAAAAAGAATTTTTTTTTTCATTTCATTCTTCGTTTTCTTTAATTTAACTTTCATTTTTTTGCTTTTCCTTTTAAAAGGACTACGTAACAAAATAACGCGGTGATGATTTTCAAAGAGTAAATTTACATAACTTAAATATAGGGTAGGGAATCCCATATATACTCGTACCTACTTACTACCAAAATAATATTGATTTATTCTCCTGTTTTTCAAATGATGAAAAAGGAAAATGAAAATCAGATTTTCACTTTGATCACAACGAAAAATTCAAAGGATCCCTTAAAGTAAATTGTCCAAATCAATTTAATATCATTGCAAATATTCTTACATATAGGTTTATATCTACATATGTATGTTATATAAGACCTTATATAACATTTTCTTAATATATTTTATATTTAAATTCCCATAAAGAATTGATTTTCTTTCAATTGAAATTAAGTTATTTTCTTTTTTTCATATTTGTTTTTTATGATTTTTTTGAATTATTAAGGATAAAAAAAATAGCCGGAAGTAAGCTTATATTTTTAGTAAGAAAATAAAAATATAACCAAAATTTGTAACCTTTTTAATAATAAAAATGAATATTTTTATTTATTTTTTTTCGGATTTTCTTTAATAAATTCAAACAAGTAGGCATTTTGTGTGACTATTTTGTAATGCACATAATTTGTATGTATGTAACAGGTGCTTAATTTGATGAGAAAATATATATTAAGGCTCGTAGTACATTAAATGATTTTTTTTCTAAATAGTTATTATAATAATATAGATGTTGAATGCGGCTTTATACAGAATTTGTAAGAACAATTTGATTCATTTGTTGCAAAAGTGTGATAAACAAGGAATCTCTAATATGATATTGTTTATCACACCTAGTAATTTGCTGAAATTATCGTTTTTTAAGAGAGTAAAAAGTTCTATAATGGTTATTTTGTAGTATCCCAACTGAAATTAGGGAAAGGAATTGATCTTCCTAAAAATAAAATCATGATAATTTATTTTATAAAAAAGCTGCTACTCACCTTTAATTCGGTGCAGTTAATTATGTATACATATTATAGGTGCATATGGTAAGCGCTTTTTTATTCTGAAATCTTTCAATCAGTTGGAAATGCATAATTAAATTTTGTTGGCTTTGCAGAAATTCATTTTAAAAGTCCATCACAATTTCCGTATTCGGTTTTTGATTTTTATAAAATTTTAACAAGATATTGATGTTCTAAATCTTGAATTTATAGCCTTTATTAAAGCATGAAAAGTAAAATCGCATTTATGGTAGCTATTCCAGTAATGAAAAATATTTTGTTCCAGTTCCAGTTGAATTCTGATATTTTCTTGTTTAACTGATTACAGCAAGTCTTCCTGCTTACAAAATTTAATTTTTGTTTTACTGAGTTTTTATTACCGTTATTAAAATATTTATTAAGCCAAAATTTATTGAGCGTTTTGTATTTATATAAAATAAAAGTTCCTTCAATAAGCTTCACCATCATTGAATAATCTAATACGAAAATTTTTAAAATCATCAAAAATAAAACAACAGCATCTAACTGACATCTTGTGGAAGATATAAATACTAATATCGAAATTAAACAGTCACAATTATGTACTTTATTGAAACAAATTCGTAATATTATTATAGAAAATTTCCCACACTCATCAATGATGATTCTCAAACCATTAATTCGAAACTTCACTTGATAAACGTCAGTATAAAAAAAAATTTTTGTTTTGAAAGTAAACAAAATGTCAAAATTTTAAAATATACACAAACAAACATTTTTTTCCAATTAGAATGACATTAAGCCGCAATTAAGAAATAGGAAATTTTTTATCCAATGTGTTTTAAAATTACCATATTCGCAATAGTAATTGTTTTGGAAAACAATATTTATTATTTAATATTGTGAATTTTTAATATCTGCAGAATTTTGAAAACAATGAAGTTATTATTGAGTTGAAAAAAGAACAAGAACGGTTTGCTGTGGTGAAATGATTTTCCGGTATTGGAAAATATACAGACCTGCACTTTGAGAGAGTAGGAGAGTCCGTCAATGACAATTTATATGTGTTCTTATGAAAATTAGAAAAGACCAATTTTTTTATAATCGGCAATATCAAAAAATAACATTTTTCGTATACTACAATTTGTGTTCTTCTCTTTAAAATTTTACTAAGAACTTGCACGGTACGTACTCCTTTAAGCTAAATTCATTGTTTTATCGCTTTTAAGTTAAGCAACATTTTTTTAATACACTTTTTTTGAAATTTTTTTAACAATTGTAGTACGTCAGTTTATGAACTAATAATCAAATTGATGTTCCTATGTTGAAATTGTATCAACTACAGACGCAGAAATCATCGCAGTAAAAGACACCTATTTAACTTTAAAAGTTATAAAAACAACCAATTGTGTTGTTAAAAATAAATATTTTCTGAATAACACGAACAAAATAAAAAAAAAACTTAAAAACTTATTGTGAATGTGGGAAATTTTATTATGGATAAAAAAAAGTACAATTTTGACTTGAATTGAAATTGAATGTGAAATTTGTGTTGGAAAATGAAAAAGTCAAAATCATAAAGTCAAAAGTATTGAATAGAAGCGGACGTGTGGGAAAATTCAGTCTCGGTTGAAAAGAAAACAAAAAAAAAAGTAAATATTGCAATTTTTATATTATAAAAATTGAATTTTGAAAAAAAGTGAATTTTAAAATTTAAAAATTAATTCGAATTTAATAAAGAATAAAAAAAATATAGCAGTTTATATTTAATACTGCATTAATGAAGGTGAATTTTAGGTAGTGAGTGACTCACTAAAATCTTATTATTTTCCTCATTTTCTTGCTTGTTTTTCTAAATTTGTGTTAAAAAAAATAAGAAGAAAAAAAAATAAGTAAATAAAAAAAAATAAAGTTGGCGAATTTTTCAAATAATGTGAATAAAATTTTCAATATTTTGTTGTTTCTTTAATGAAAAGTGTTAAAATTCTGTAAAGCTAATCTAGGTATACCTACCTATAAATTCTTTGTAAAGAATAGAAAATAAAAAAAAAAAAGAGTTAAATTACTAAATTCAGATTTTGAATAAAAATTTTAATCTTGTTTTTTTTACTTTATTTACGCCTACATACAAAATTTTTCAATAAGGAAAAACAAGTTTGTTTTTTTGTATTCTTGTTTTTATTTTGCTTCAAATTATATCTAAACAGGAATTGAATGCAAATATTTGTTAATAACAATGACAAGATTAACAGAAGAAATGGTTATAGCAAGATCTAGGGGCGGTGGTTCAGACTTAGCTTCCATAAAAAAATTAAATTGCTGGTAAGTTTTGTTTTGTTTTCTTTTTCTTTCTATTTTTTATGTTGTTTACATATTTTAATGGTCATTAATTTATGTATCTTATAATGTTTTAGGTAAATAACAGTGTAGGTACATAAGCACAATTTATAAGATTTTTATTTTAACTGAATGATTGTTGAATAAGGAAAAATTATGGTTATAACAAGATATAAAAGTGAACAAAACTGTCCCTTTGTTGAAAATGTAGTACCAATATGAATTTGAAGTAGATTCATACCAGTTGCTTGACAAAATATGGTGTCATTTTTTATTTATGCTTACATTTTAGTTTACTCCGCAATCATTCATTACAATAGAAATTAAATTATGTACATTATACTAGAGGTCATTGTGTCTTAAAAATAAAATTTTTTTAAATCAGACTAAAAATTATTTGAAGTTGCACCGCTTTATATTTTAATTTTATAATACCAATTAGTATTTACTATATAACAAGTACTTATAAATTGTTTATTATATCTGTTAATACCCACCTATAACAGCCATAACAAAATTATGTGTATTGGAGATGAAATTCTTGAAAAAAATGCAAGAAGTTTAAAATGCAAACAATTTTCATATAATGAATTGCATAAATTTGATGTGCTTTTAATTATAATAAGTAAAATAGATAGGTACCTACCAAGTTAATTAAGCCCTTACAAAAGAAAACAGAAAAATATTTATCAGAAACCTTACCACTTCTAAGATTTTTTTAATATCATAGTTATTTAGTAATCTTTACGTACCTTTCTTAGCATTTTAATTTTATTGAAGTCAAACGTAGTTATAGGTATCTGTACGTACTTATGTAGGTATATTTCTAAATGGATGGGTAAGTAGGTAGATTTATTTATTCTTGTCTCATCCATAGTCTCTCATTCTTTTCATTTTATAGCAATAATAAAAAACAAAAATTATAATTTATAAGTAGGCATATATTTTTGTGTTAATTCATACAATTTACTTACTATTTTCAATTTACATTGCAAATTACCTAAGTATAATTTACTAAGAATAATGTCTACTTATTAAATTATTGAAGACAATGGCCTCCAGTAAAATGTACAATGTGTATTGATATGCTTTTTCTGTCTTCTAAGTATATAAGTATACAGTCATGTCTGTAATTTTCTTTTTTTCTGTTTTTTTTTCTTATTGCTGAGAAATTCTTATAGAAGAACTTACATATATTTAAAAAAAAAATTCTCATGCAATTCAAACAAAAATTACTTAGAACTTTAAAAAAAAAAAGAAAATAAACTTTTATTAAATTGTACTTATTTACTTATATTAAATAGATATGTAGGTACGCACGTATGTGAATAAAGAATATAACTTCATGCAATTCTATGTGAAAATTGAGAGGATTGATGAATATATTTCTAATGTAGTTGGGGTTAATCAAACTTTTTTTTTTTGAGAAATCAATTATTCCATACTTGGCTGTTGATTTTTATTTATATTTCTCTGTCCAATAGAATGAGAATTGAATATAAATGTGTCCTTTGTTTTGATAATAATGGTTAAGTAAAACAAAATACAGTAAGCTCTGGTTTAAAAAAAAAAGACACTTTATTTTTAAGGTTAAGACGATTTTTCACAATTTCGATTTTACTAAAGAATATTGTATGCTTCTCTTTTTATTATACTAATATGAATGCAAATATTTGGGTTTTTATTGGTATGATAGTGGTGAATCCCGAACATTACAGTACAGTGAGAAATGTTTTAAGGCGTAATGTGGCATTTATCCACCTTGCCCTGAAAATTCTACATAAGAACTTAAAGTGCTAGGCCACAGTCTTAAACAGTATGCAAAAACTTTAGCTAAGTTTTTAATATTTAAGCAGTCTGCAAATTCTGAAGCTTCTTAATAACGATGTTAAATAAGATGTCTGCGCTACATTTCCGACATTTTTTTTTATTACAATGAATTTCCGAACGCATTTTATTACAGCGAGTAATTTCAGTGTGTGCAGCGTTGTATTTTAGAACGTGCTGCAAATTTGAACTATATTCTAGTACTGAAATAACGAAAACCCCTTTATAGTTAGCTGTTAATGAGTGTTAGATAATTAACAATTTTATTAGGAAAGGCAATATGTTAGTTGTGAAGCCAATTGCCGTATTTATACTTCATCTTTTAATTTAAAAGTTTAGAATTTTTCGGATAATTTTGAATATTTAAGTATTAAGTACAAATTTGAATTATTTTTCAATATTGTAATTTATTTGGTATGTACTGTTTAAAAAAAGTTACCTGCATAATATCAATGCCTTCTTATTTAATGCTATAAATTATAAAAAATTGAAAAAAAAACATTATTTTTTCTAGGTTTAAAAATGCCACAGTCAAAGCATTTTTTTTCCTCTTACTTTCTTTCTTTCTTTTCATTATTGGAATAACTATACTTATATATTGTATTTTCATATAAATTATAAATTAGTATGTAGTTAGAGAATTGATGTGGACACTTTTATACCAATAAATCAACTGAACATCGTTAATAATTATTGATTGATTATTTTCTCATGTTAATTGTGAATTCGTCTATCTTCACAAAGTTTTTGATTTATTAAAATATTTTCTTTATACCGTACTTTACGTTATTTATATTTTAATTGTGATTTATAATAGCCTAATGAAATGTGATTATTAATAAGTCTAGTCAATGACTTATATACTTTAAATGGAATAATTTCAATTATATTGATAACATCAGACAGCATAGTATGTGCTTGTGCTCGGAGTAGTATCAGCAAATTAGATGATGAAAAAATTTTGTTGCTGAAAGCAATATTAATCTTGAAACGGTTGTGTTAGTTCATTTTGGAAATGTGCATCCATATACCACCCATATGTGCATCAGAATTCTATAAATGAGTATTTTAATGTGCTCATTATCATTTAATAATATGATGCAAGTGTGTTATAATCAATTATCACCGTAAATAGTGATTTCAGTCATTATTGGTTATTAAATTTAAATATTTACTTGAAAATGTTACTGCTGATTTGAGACATACCTATATTTACTTATTAAATTATTAAAAAATATAAAAAATTTCACATTTATCAATATTAAATAGTTTAAACATATTGAATATCTTGGTTTGTAAATTTCAAATAATCTTAACCGCAGTACTTGATAAATGAAAGCATGTTTATACCCGTTCGAACGTATGTTCGAAGGTACACTAAATTTGTCTTACCGTTTGTAGCACTAAGAAATAATGCTCTGACATATAGACTCAAGTGTATGTCCGTCCTACCCAACGATAACTCAAAAACTAATTGAGCTAATTTCACCAACTTTTCACAAATGATTTATTGTAGTAAGTGGCAGAACCCTATTTAAATTGGGCATGATCGGGGTACCGGTGCGGGTAGCAGCCATGCAACTTCAAAATTTATTTGGCTATATCTCAGAAATTATGAAAGCTGTGATATTGAAATTTCATACAAGCGAATATATTAGTAAGGCCAATGTGTTTTATAAAAGTTGTTGAAATTGCTTGGCTCCTTTTGGTAGCTATCGTACAACTTCAAAAGTTATTTGGCTATATCTCAGAAACTATAAAAGCTGTGATATTGAAATTTCACACAAGCATGATGTGCATGATTAAAATACGATGTGCATGATAAAATTCGTTACAATTGCTTGGCTCTTTCTGGTAGGTGCCATACAACTTCAATAGCAGTTTGACACACACTGTATTTTGAAAAACATAATACCGAAATTTGGCATAAATTAATATGTTAATACGGCAGCTTAAAGTCATAGTCTGTCCCATAGTCAGTTATGGAAAATTTATTCGCACATGGTATAACAAATTCGTACGGATATCACAGAGTTGACAAGGTCAACTCTATTTTGTCTTGTTTTTAACTGAAAATATTTGCTATGAAAACTAAGTAGGTGCTTAACTGTTATGATAAGCTTAAATTCACTTTAATTCTTCAAATGAAGTAAATGTACTCCTAAAAACGAATCATGTTTTACATGTCAATGAATGTGGTGATAAAAATGAGAAAATGGAAAACGAGAATCGTGTATTTAAATTCACTTTTTATAACAAGTTCAACTATCCTCTCTTACTTATTAAAGAAAGTTCTTTTAAAAGTATGTCAAGTACTAATCAACTTAGAAAATTTTAAGTAAAGTAAGTACTCTGATATTCTTCCTCATTTATAAATCACAGTAAAAATATTTGAGTATTTATTTTTTATTTAACTATTAATTGATTAATAGTAGAAATCTTTTATAAAAGAATAAGTACAAAAAACGGTTTTTAGTTTCATAAAGTTCATTTCTTTTTATTAACGCAATTTTTCTTATGTACGTATAAGTACTTGTGTACTCAAGTACTCGTTTGTGAATGATAAAACCATACAATTACATTTTACTTTGACAATGGTACCAAGTAAGTACCGCTTATTTGTAGAATAAATTAGGTAAAAGTACTTATGTAAGTGTGTACACTTAAGTATTTGCTTCTTTAAAAACTATTGAACCCAAGTATAGCATTAGATTTTTCCCATATTAAATTTTTCCTCGTTGTAAATGAAGATTGAATGAATTTAAGAATATTTTAGAGTTAAAGAAAGAGAAATTACAAAAATAATAAATTGTGATACTTAAGTATTTATAGTAATTTTATAGTAAGTATAGTCAGTAACTACTCTCATCTTAAATTACGTGAGGAAGTACTTATGCAGATATCTGCTATTGTACTAACACAATACACGAACGAAACATAAAGAATATTTGCTACTTATTAAGTAAGTACTAGTGTTGCGAAATGGAGTTCTGACCATAAGTAAATGGACAAGCGAAGTGAAGCCACATTTGTATATATAGCGTTTTATTTAAAGTGATGTACTTACTTAACTATTTAAACCTATTTATCACTCTATAACTGTATAACACTTCCAATTGTACTAGCATATATAAAGTAGTATGGTTAAGAAATGTTTA